TCTTTTCTTTCTTTCTTTCCTTCGTCCTTTCTTGTTTCTGTCTTCTTTCTTTTTTTCTTTTTTTTTTCAGATACAGGGTCTTGCTCTGTCACCCAGGCTGGAGTACAGTGGCCCCATCATAGCTCACTGCAACCTCCTATGCCTGGGTTCTGGTGATCCTCCTGCCTCAGCCTTCCGAGTAGCTGGGACTACAGGTGCACGCCACTAGGCCCGGCTAATTATTTTTTATTTTGTAGAGACAGGATCTCACTGTGATGCCAGGCTGGTCTCAAACCCCTGGCCTTAAGCGTTTTCCACCTCAGCCTCCCAGACGTGCTGGGGATTACAGGGTGTGAGCCACTGCACCGGCCACCGCCCCCCTCACTATAGAAGTACTTTTGATAAAAAAAAATACAGGGGTGTGGGGGAGCCTTACTTGGGTTAAATCCTCTCAGTTTGTTTGAATCAGAATGAATGTTCCTATCAAAGGACTAATGGTAGCTGCCTCTTCCCCACTTTTTATTTCAAATTCTTGGTCTTGTCTTTCATGTCTCTGCTCTTGGCTTTGGGTAGTGCCACATCTGGTGGTGGTTTGTGTGAAAGGAAATCACTATATATAATAGTTCCTGTTCTGGTCATTTCAACCTATCCCTATACTGGACGAGAATTTGACCCACTTCTCTCCATACAGCAGTGTCTCGTCACTGAAATGCCAGTTATTTACAGCCGTTGGCCAGCCAGAGTGGCAGACTATATACACGTAGCCCAAAAAGCCATCCAGGGGCCTCTTCTTTTTTGATCATTCCAACCAAATACTTTCGTTATGTGCTTCGAGTGGAGGCTATGATTTATTGTCTGTAAGCACCTAGAAATGTATTGTCTTGACAAGAAATTCACGAGACTAGTAAATATTGTCATTATCAATCATCTCTCTTCTCCTACTCATTTTTGGAGGCAGATTTCATTTTATTCCAGGTTTAAAACAAAAAAAAACAACTCTGAGCTTGTACTAATGTATTTGTGTAACTCGGGCTGGCATTAGTTTTTCTTTTTTTTCTTAATGACCAAGGTAATAAAATAAAAGATACTTTCACATACTTGTGGATTTCTTCCTGATTGGGACTTTTGTTTTTCCCCCCAGCCATACTTGCCAGTCCTCGCGCTGGAAAAGTCTTTCTCTGTCATTCATTTACTGCAAAGGGTCCGCCAGTTTCTGTTCTTCCCTGGGCAAGGGCCATTTGGTGGCACTGAATGTACGCAGGGGACCCGTCGGAATTTGTGACATTATTTCTGTAATATCAGAATCTCTTCACACAGCAAACAGCATCGTACTCTTCAACTATAGAACGAAGTACTGACAATTCCCGAAAGTTTGTGTACATATGTTGGGGGGGGGTGGTGGTTCCATTCTGTAATACATCACTTAGCTTTTATTTCTAGCAATCCTTTCAAACGTAAGTTCCAATTTACTTACTTTAGAGGCACATTACGAAATCGTATGTATGGATACTTTCATTTTAGTTTGGCCTCTTGATAATGTTTATGGATAAAACAGAGAAAATGTCTCTAGCATCGTAATGTTTGCTTAGGGGTCATGAGTGGGCCTACCTGCAGTCCCTTGGGCCAAATCGCTAGCCATCATCCTATTTGTGTACACAAAACAAAACAAGATAATACAGATTAACATTTTTTAAGAGAGATAAATGTGGAACAGAACACAAGAATATAAAGAGACAGAACAATACATCAAGATATAGACAACACACAACAATTTTTAAACAGTTTACTATCTGGCCACTTTACCTAAGGAAGTTTTGCGATCCCTCAGGCTTGCCACTGAGATACATGGCCTTCGATACACGGCAGTGCGACTGAGCCCCACAGGTGGCCAGCATGCACAAAAAGAAGTCAGCGTTCACTGGCAGAGGCTGCCTTAAGAAGGCTGCTGCCAAAGGTCGATCTTGGTCCCTAGGGGCCTTGACCCCAGCTAGATTTCGACCCCCCTTGAAAACTAAAGACTGGGCTCTGACATTTGGGATGGCAAAGTAAGTGGAGACACAATTACGTACTAGACCTTGTCTCCTACCCAGAGCTTTGGGTTCGAGCCCTTGTGAGGCCCACGTATATGAATACCAGCATTGGGAGGTGTGATCTGCTGTGATGGATTTGGCGGCGACCTCATGTGAGAGAACCATGTTTACACTAACTGTTACGTTCTTGGGCTGTCCAAGGACAGAACAGGCCCAACCTGCTATACAGGGAGCCCAAGGTGGAGCGTCCACGCCTTTCCATGCCTGCGCGCAGTTTCACCTCAGATGCCGAGGCTTGTAGTTGATAGATACCTTTTCAGACTGGGTACGGAGGCTAGCACATGTTAAAATGTAAGAGCCTTGGCTGGGCAGCGGTGGCTCATGCCTGTAATCCTAGCACTCTGGAGGCCGAGGAAATGAATAGCTCAACAGGCCAGGAGTGTCAAACCCGCCTGAGCAAGAGCGGAGGACGCCGCTGTCTCCTACACAAAAGATAGAAAGAAATTAATTGGCAAATAAAAAATAGACAGAAAAAATTAAGCCGCGCCATCGGTGGGCATGCCTGTAGCTCCCAAGTACTCGGGGGGCTGAGCGCAGAGAGGATTGCCCCTGAGCCCAGGAGTCTTGAGTGTGCCCTCGTGTGGAGCTAAGCTGATGCATGGCAGCTCTAGCCCAGGGCACACAGAGTGCACGACTCTGGTGTCAAACAAAAAAAAAAAATGTACACAACCGCGGCAGTGGTGGGCTCACACTGGTAAGCCCCAGCACTCTGGAGGCAGCCGAGCGGCGGTGGATTGCTCAGGGTGGAATTGCCTCAAGGCTAGGAAGTTCGAAAACCCAGCCTGAACGAGACCTGTCTCTGACAACCAGAAATACGACAAGAAAATTTAATTGACCAAACTACTCAAATAATATAATACACAAAAATTAGCCAGCGCATGGTGGACCATGCCCCTGTTAGTCCAGCTACTCGGGGAGGGGCTGAGGCAGGAGGATCACTTACAAGCCATACACGGGGAGATTGAGGTTGCCTGTTGACGCTAGGCCTGAGTGCCCACGGCCACTCCACTTCCTACCTGGGCAAGAAAGTGGACTCTGTCTCAAAAAAAAAAACAAATGTAAAGCCTTGGGCCAAGCATGGTGGCTCATGCCTATAATACCAGCACTTTGGGAGACTGAAGCAGGAGGATTGCTTGAGCCCGGGAGTTCAAGGTTATAGTGAAATATGGTTGTACCACTGCACTCTAACCTGGGCAACAGAGCAAGACCCTGTCTCTTTAAAAAAAAGAAAATTAAGTTCAATTAAAAGCGTTATATTTAGAGCAGCTGGTATCTCTTTGAACTTTAGACATGAAGTGTTATTGGGTACTACCAGCTATACCAAGGTAAATTATACTATATTTATTTCAATTTACTATTTTAGTTGATTAGATATTGGCACTACTTATGTATTCTTCTAGTGGTTTTCAATTGTGGATGCATTTTTTTTTTTTTTGAGACAGAGTCTCACTCTGTTACCAGGCTAGAGTGCCATGGTGTTAGCTTAGCTCACAGCAACCTCAAGTTCTGGGCTCAACTGATCCTCCTGCCTCAACCTCCTGAGTAGCTGAGACTACCACCATGCCTGGCTGATTTTCTATTTTTAGTAGAGACAGGGTCTCACTCTTGCTCAAGCTGGTCTTGAACTCCTGAGCTCAAGCCATTCTCCACCTTGGCCTCCCAGAGTGCTAGGATTACAGGTGTGAACCACAGCTCCAGGCCTCTGGCTGCATTTTAAAATCATCTGGGGAGCTTGGAAATTACTGTTGCCTAGGCTCCTAAACCAGAGATCCTGATTTAATTGATTTGAAGCAGGGCCTGGGCAGAGGTAGTTCTTTTGAGACAGAGTCTCACTCTGTTGTCTGGGCTAGAGTGCTGTGGCGTTAGCCTAGCTCACAGCAACCTCAAACTCCTGGGCTCAAGCAGTCTGCAATACCCAGCTACTTTTTTGTTTCTATTTTTAGTTGCCCAGCTAATTGTTTCTATTTTTAGTAGAGATGGGGTCTCGCTCTTGCTCAGACTGGTCTTGAACTCCTGGCCTCAAGCAATCCTCCCGCCTCAGCCTCCCAGAGTGCTAAGATTCCAGGCATGAGCCACTGTGCCCTGCCCAGAGTTTCTTATATGTTCTTCATGTGGTTCTAATGTGTCACCAGATCTGAGGCCCACACCACTCAGAGGTCTATTAATGGATTGACAATTAGGTAGTTTTTGTTCACACTTTTCATTAGAAATTTAATAGAGATACATTATACAAATTGTTCTTTAATTTCAAGACCGAAGTGTTGCTCAGGGAAATTTTAGCTGAGACAATTTTGAAATGTGAAGAGCATATGAAACAGATAATGCAGAGCCCAGAGAAATAGAATTGGAAAGACAGAAACTGAGAGGAGCATGCTGAGAATAAAAAAGAAAGAAAGAAAGAAACCACTCAGAATTTCAATACACAAATCACTGAGTAGACTTCTTGCTATCTGGGTGAGTGTATCTATTTTCAAAAGTGCTGTTAACATAAACAGAGCAGTAAATCTGGGGCACCATACTTTTTTTTCAAAGTTGTTAAGAAGAATTATAGCAGTCTGCAGGTGTCACACGCAGTTACTCAGAATCAGAAAGAAGGCTGATCAGGGGTTAGAAGATCTCCATCTATCTATCTTTTTGCAACCAACCACGTCCAGGCTGTTTATTTAATACTTCCTCTTGCTAATGAAGGTACTGGTTGGGGATGGGTCGGGCTTTCCCATCTCAGCATAAGATTGCAAGATTTGAATGTGCCCGGGCGACGGCTTCACTGACCACTGCAGGTACCCCAGGCAAGAATCTGAGCAGTAACAACAGGTAACAATAACAGAGTGTGCATCAGATGGCGGACACTTCTTTTTCCAGTTTACTTCCTTTTCTCCCCATTTACCAATGTATTCTTTCCCCTCTTCTTTTTATATTTTTCCAAACCAGCAAGCGCGGAGGCAAGACACATCAAAGCAGAGATGGGAAGTGAAAGAGCTCTTGTTCTGGACAGATTAGCAAGCAATGTGGCAAAACGAAAAAGCTCAATGCCTCAGAAATTCATTGGTAAGAATGCGAACCTTTTTCCTGCTGTTGTTAGCAGATAGTTTGAATGAGATAACGTAGGACGCTTACTACAAGAGGCCCTTCCCAGCTTAACCTCTGTTAAAGTAATTGGTTTTCCATCGTCCACTTTTATTCTTTGTGGTTCATTTTGATAGCTCTAAGAAAATAGAATGTAAGATATTAACTAAAGGATCATAACAACAGAAGATGGGAGTATTTGGTATCTGATTTCCAAAATGGATATGATGTTAAAAACGCTGTTCCTTCCTCTTTACTCTGAATGATATATGTTGCGTGAGAGTTTATGCAATTTACACCAGTAAGATGTTCCAAGATAGCGTGTTTGTAATCTTTTGTAATTATATTTTACAAGTTGGTTCGTTAGCATGCTCAAACTTTTTTCATGCTCTAAAACATATTGTCATATTTTCCTGAGTTTGAGAACTGGCTTTAAGGGAAAGTGATCAGGCAAACATAGATTTAAATAACAAGGTTGGATTTAATCATTTGTCTTGCTGGAATTAGTTTTCATGCCACTGGTTTTCACATTGTCAAACAATACAGCCAAATGAGATGGCTAAGAAATAATTATGTTCATTAAAGTGTTAGGATTTCCAAATGGCAGAGATATTTTGCTGAACTCTCCCAGATGTTTACATAAATGTGACCATGATATTTAAAATAGATTTGTATTTGTGAAAGACAGCTGAAACTGAATGTACAGTTTTTCTATAAATTGAAAGTTGGTGATACTGAACAGAAATAGTTATCACACCAAAATAGACTATTTCAACACTAATAATATTTTAGAAACCTGTCAATCTCTTTTTCCAAAGCTGCTGGCTGCTGTTGATTTCTTACTTCAGTTTTTTCTGTGTTCTTCTCAATGGATTTTTACAGATATTAAGTGCCTTTCTGAGTTTTAAATCTGCCTAGGTTTTACTCTTGTCTAGATAATATTTTTACAAGCTCACATTCTATGTGAATTATAGAGATATATTGAAAGAACTAGTATATTTTTAAATTACCAAACTTGGTATTTCTGATTGCTTATTTTATTTTGATTAGCTGAAAGGTTTTTGTATACTTTTAATCACTTTAAGAATAAATTGTGTCAGGCCAGGCGGTCTGGCTTATGCCTGTAATCTCAGCACTTTGGGAGGCTAAGGCGGGAGGATTGTTTGAGACCAGGAGTTTGAGACCAGCCTGAGCAAGAGCAAGACCTCATCTCTACAAAAAATAGAAAAATTACCTGGGTGTGGTGGTCAGTGCCTGTAGTCCTAGCTACTTGGGAGGCTGAGGCAGGAAGATGGCTTGAGCCCGGGGGGTTTGAGGTTGCAGTGAGCTATGATGACGCCACTACACTCTAGCAGGGTGACAGAGCAAGACCCTGTCTTAAAAAAAAAAAGATAAATTGTGTCAGATTAAAGTTGGTGTGTTTCAGTTTAGGAATATCCCCTCCCCTTTGCTGCCCCCTTGGTGAGAAATGTCGGGGGGGTGGGGCAGGGGCATGTGGTGATTTCTACATAGGGTTTAGGAAGAGTGAAGCAATTGTGATTCCAAGACATGATCTTCAAACAGTGCCCATATATCTTTTGAGCTTTACTAATGTGAAGAGGTTCTGACTGGAATATAAAAGAAAGCTGGGATCATTATTCTATGCCATGATTATATTTTAATTTGGGGAAAGTTTTGACTCAAGCAATGGGTGAAGCTGATATGGGGAGGATGGTGAGGGACATGGGGAGAGACAGACAAGAAAAAGAATGCAAAGTAACTTAATTTCAATCCAGTAGTGGCCAATACATTTTGGTCTAGGAGAACTAAAGTTTGACAGAAGGTACCTAGTACTTAACAGCTGCCCCAAACCTATAACTGAGCTAAAGCCCTACTTAATATTTAAAAAGTTGCTTTGGTATTTTCATGGGCTAAAAATCCAACATATTTCATACGCCCCAATTCATGCCATTTTGCCTGTTGCCTCGGGGGTCCATTCAATTTGTTAGCTACCAGTGAGACCAGAGGATTTTTCACTGTATCGCTTCTAGGCTCACGAGAGATGCTGATCTTGCAGGTTCTGATTTCTCTCATCTTCTGAACCATCATGTTCTCTCTGCTGGAATCAGAAACCTTGTATAGAGTTAGCTCTTGATTGAGCTGAGGTAGCAACTTCAAGGCTTCAGGGCCCAGAATAACTGGGGGAATTTTTATTTTTTATTTTTTATTTTTGGTAAATTGTGATATAGTGCAATGAAAAACACAGGATTAGAAGCCAAAAGTCCCAGGTTCCAATCCTAGCTCTGTCATTTCTGAATTGTGTGTTTAGACAAATCAGGTAACCTTTTTGGGCTTCTATTTACTCAACTGTGAAATAAGGAGACTGATAGGTGATGAAATGACCAGGAAGTTCCCTCCTGTCTACAAGTCTGTGAGATGAATTATAACAGAAAAGAAATCTAAGACAGCAATTATGGATACCACTTCGTGTTTGTAAAACCCTTGTGTGTAACTTTAGCTATACAGTTATGGTGTTTATGTCATAAACTATATCTTATGTTTTAAGGTTTCTTTTTTTAAGCTTTGCGCAGTGGCAGTATTGTAGCCAATGAGGCTTATCTGAGGCAGGATTATTGCTATTTAAGTTTCTTTGAGGAAGATGTTGTTAAATCTGAGACTAAAAAACAGTTGCATTCGTTCAACATTCATATATTTTGCTTAGGGCAGTGCTACTTGTTCATTCGGTCTTTTGTCCATTCATTTGTCATACAAACGGTTAAGAGCTCCTGTCACGTATATGGTATTTTGTTCTTCTCGCATTAACTTATATCCTAAATCTTAGTTTGAGAGATTTTTTTAAAAAAATAAAAGAAACTCCTTGAATCATTTAACTGAATCAACCTTTGTGATAGAAAATTGTAATGTCAAGGGAGGGGATAAAGGAACACTATCTGTGACACTGCAGTGTGTAGGATCAAGTGATATAAACCACTCGGGGCTGTCGTTTTCCCTCCCTCTTCCCTCTCCTGTCCTGTCCTCTTCTCTCCTGTCCTCTCCCTTCTCTCCTCTCCTCACTTCTCCTCTCCTCTCCATTCCCCTGTTTTTCCTCTCCAAGGGGCTGTTTTCTGAACAGATTCAGCTGCCAGCATAATGGCAATGGCTAAGGTGTGAAAGAAGAATGAGTCACTCCCTTTAGTCCTTGCTGACAGTCACACAACACTCAGACCAGCCTTGGCTTTCCTGACCTCTTGAACTGTGAGGGTAGAGGTGAAATTATACCATCAGGTCAGCCCATTACTTTCCCGGCAGGCTAGAGATAATTACCAGTAGTAGCATTTCTCATCTATTAGGAATAAACTGGGGCCAGGTGCGGTGGCTCACGCCTGCAATCCTAGCACTCTGGGAGGCTGAGGCAGGAGGATCATTTGAGGTTAGGAGTTGGAGATCAACCTGAGCAAGAGTGAGACCCTGTCTCTACTAAAAATAGAAAACTTAGCCTGGCAGAGTGTTGTTTTCTCAAAGAAACCACCCTTAAGGGAAAACAGTCGCCCTTCTTCAAGGGACTTTTCTCCCACTGGGACCCTGGTCAATGACCAGACCCCTTGCTGTCCAAAGCCCCCATGTGGCACACGTTACAGGCACTGCTCTTGGTGACCTCCCAGGGAAGAAAGTGTCTGGACGGCAGTGCCTTATAGACCAAGGTCTGGCCCTGTTCTGTCACCTGTTCTGTCACAGGTGCATGCCTGTAGTCCCAGCTACTGGGGAGGCTGAGGCAGGAGGATTGCTTAAGCCCAGGAGTTTGAGGTTGCAGTGAGCTAGGATGACACCACTGCACTCTAGCCTGGGCAACAGAGCGAGACTCTGTCTCAAATTTAAAAAAAGACCTTACTTTGAGCATCCTGACCCTTTTAGAGGTTTTCTTTTGTCTGAATCTTATTTTCCTGTTATAAACTTGTTTGACTATACTTCAAACTAGGCCATCCTCAAATACTTGGCTCAAAGTGGAGGCTGGATTTTTCTCTTGGACGAGGAGAAAAATGACTACATTTCTGCATATTTTTTTCTTAATTTTCATTCTTTCCTGAAAAACAGATGTGATAACCAGAGTGGTTACCATTGCATCTCCTTATTCTTTTTAAATTTTATGTATTACTTTATTGAAGGAAGTTTTCATATTGAAGAGAGCATGAAAAAAGATCTCACTTCCCCGTGGTAAACATGTTAGTGAGGTTTTGACACTTCAACAAACCATTGGTTCTCCCTGTGAAGTAAGTAATGAGAAATTTTCTGCTTTGGTTAACAGAGTGACAGGAAGCAGTTTTAATACCTGTTTCTAAGAGCAAAAAGAATCTTCTCCCACCCCTTCCCAAAGGCCTGATGTCCATAATCCTATAAGGATTACAATGTCATAGCATTGTAGGGATATTAGGAACCACCAGTGAAGCGATTTTACCGAGGTGGGGAGGAGGATCAGAGAGATGGAATGACAGCTGGTAGGTGACAGAACAGGGCCAGACCTTGGTCTATAAGGCACTGCCGTCCAGACACTTTCTTCCCTGGGAGGTCACCAAGAGCAGTGCCTGTAACGTGTGTCACATGGGGGCTTTGGACAGCAAGGGGTCTGGTCATTGACCAGGGTGCCAGTGGGAGAAAAGTCCCTTGAAGAAGGGCGACTGTTTTCCCTTAAGGGTGGTTTCTTTGAGAAAAGAACAGTCTTCCCCTGGTGACTCCATCAGGACAGATGACATCCAAATAGCACTTCCCAGTGTCTCACAGAGCACAAAGACATCTGCAACAACAAAATGTGCTCTCCAGCTCGGTTTTCCTCACCTCCGCCCCCCACCCCCAGCTCTCTCTGTTCTCTGCCCTTCCTGCCCCCTCTCTTTCCACTTCCTGGATGAAGTGATAGGAATTTTAGTCTCATTGGAGATCAGAGCCATAATGATCACTGGATATTTCATTTCCCCTATTTACCTGTCTTTTTTGTTTGCTTTTGGATATAT